TATTTTAAAAAATTTGTTTTTATTTTCCGAGTTCGTTTGGCTCTTCTACCCGACCGATTTCCATGATTGAGGTCTTATGTTTAAGGAATGCTCGCACAGATTTCACATACAGTATCGGCAATATTTATCTAATGTATTACCCCACCAAAAATATATATTTGATTTTTTTAAATTTCTACTTCGATTTAAGATGCATTTCACCAGTTACAATTTTATCTAATCCTATATATTTTGGTCTAAGAACCTTCAGTGAAATACCGGCTTTAATTTAAGCTATTAGTTATTGAAATCAAGCGAGTTTCAAGCAAACGCAAGATGAATAACTAAAATAAAACTTATTTTTCATAAGGGTTTTCTATGGTTAAAAACCACTAGTTCTACTATTATTTATGTTTTAGATTTAAAATAATCCGTGAATTATATCAATTTGAGCTACTAATCTTTTGAAACAGTTAAGTCCAAGATACTGTATTACTCGATAAAAAATCTTAAATTTGACATAAATCGAAGGCATATCTTTTAATGGAGACCTAGGTTTCTACGTCAAAATGTTATCGTCAGTCCTGTTGTATCATAAATTTGATTATTTCTAAGATATGCTATGTTATTTTAAAGCTGCGTAGCAGCACGAGTCCGCTAGTTTTGTTTAAATCTCAAACCACACTTAATTTTATATGGTTAACCCTCTATATCTTGTATTTGTCCAAAAAAGGGCACGGAAAGTTGACGTGTGGGATAGCAATGTCATGTTTTTACATTTCGGACATTGGACAAAACAATTAAATATTGTAACCAGCAAACGGCCTCAAATCGTAAAAAAACAATTCAACGCTGGAGGAAACGTATTGAGAACATTTGGTTTTTCTTTAATTTGCGGTATAATATAGTATAAAACATCTACCATATCCATAATAATGTTCTACCACTGCACCTAAACAGCAGAAAAAAGCAAATCACCAAAGATTCGCACAATATGACAAATTATTTATAAATCAAAAACAGTATATTTTCTGTGCCAGTAGTTAATGCGTGATTGAACTTCAATAAACAAACAAACACACAAACTTTCACATTTATAATATTAGTAAGATAAGATGTATTAATTAAATATTAATTACTAGCTGTGTGTCCGTTCTACACACGGGGATCCTCTAGTGGTCAGTTGAAACCTTCCTAAATAAAGAAAAACTATTGGTTTGCATATTTTCAGATATGCTGGCCAAACTATTATATACAAACAAATACAGTATCTGACAGTTTCAAGTAAAAAAAAAAAAAAAACATGCGTAATAGATCTATGAGGGGTACACTTCCATATCTGTTGGCACAAACAACTAAATGAGTAATATTGATTATTCGATTGTTTAATTCGATATATCGTTTGGTTAGTTAGGTTAGGTTAACCTTACCTAACTAACCAAACGATATATAGTTAAAATACTATTCCTCAACCTCGCCATTAAACATTCAGGTAGGAAATTTCACTATCAAAGATGCTCTTGTCCTGTCCGTACGGAACACTGAGTAATATGCGCTACCAACTTATGAATAATTGTTTACGCCTACGAACCCAAGAGATGGATTATTGGTCTGTTGGACGTATGGTCCAGCGAGCAGCACATAGCGTTTAGAAGACACATTAGAAATATGATTTGAGCATAATCCGTAAACCTCTGTTACAATCACCCACTGCAGTTGTCTCTAAACACTTTACACAACCACCATTGAAGTGCCGTCAACGAGTTGAAAACTTATATGTAAGCTATTGGTAACGCTTATGTAAAAAATGTAAGTTTCCCAGGCATATAGAACACTGAGTCAATGTCTTTTCCCCGGTTATCAACCCAAAACTCAATAGAAATTGTATACACAAAGAAGCTCTATTTTCATTTACGGTTACCCTACACATTATTGCACTTGCGATTAATTAAATCCGTTATGTAAGGAAAAACGGTTTTAATCCAACTTGGTTTGGATTTGCTTTTGAAACTTGATCTGAAATGATTGCGGTATTTGTAAACAATATTCAATGTAAACATATCAGTGACAGCTAGAGGAAAATAATCTTGATCCGAACAGCTGTTCACTATTTCATATGATGATTATGTGATAAACATTGTGAGAAAACTTGACAAAAATCGCACAAAATTGGGTTTTAAACGTCCGTAAGTTTTTTTACAAAGTAGTGAGGCCATATTTTGATAGCTAAAGACACTTTCGCCAATCCAGTGAATACATTAAAATAATTCGAGGATCTTGATAGGTACTCTTGTTTTTCAGGAGAAGGCCGCGAAAATGGCCTTTGGACCGTGACAGACGGAAGATAGACAACAACGGAATTGAGATAATTGATGATTGAGATAATAACGGAATTGAGATGAAACTTTTTTCGGATTCTTGAATGTTTAAAACGTAAAAATAATCTAAAAATTTATGATTCTGAGCAATGTACAGACAAAACTCTAATTTTATTTATATAGATTAGTACCTGTGGTGATTTTTATTAGAAATTTATTGAAGTAAATAAACAGCAAAGTTAAAAACCATCCAACCAGTGTTTTTATTTAAAAAGTACGTAGGCCTATTTGATTGGCTTTGTTTTCTGAACTAAAATATCTATTTCCTGATCTATTTTTAGTTCCTGGTTTCGAAACATAATTTGGCAAAACAATTATTTATTCATTAAACAACTTGATCGAAAAATAATTTCTAAACATTGGAGGACAATTAAAAAACTTTTGAATTCTAATAAACCTAGCTGCCGTACCTGTGTTTTACATCGGAGAGGATTTTGAAGAGAAAAAGTTTGATACACGTCACATATTTCAAATCCCACTCCAAACACGTCATGTTAATACGTTTACTTCCTTAAATTAAGAAAGTCACAATCTCCAATTAACAGGCCCGTAGCAAAGTTAAAAGTTTCACAAATCGAATCGTTTCTACCTTTTGGACCGCAAAATCAAAGCACTGCATTGACAGCATTTACAGCTGACTTCGTTAAACATTCTGTATCTACATTCTTCAAAAATGTAAACATTGTGAAACTTTGGAATCCCATGGGGCGTAACTCAAAGAAAACACGTTAAATGTAATCGGTATATTTGTTAACCAGGTACAGGGCTACCTCTTGAATTGATATAGATAATAAATCGAAAAATAAAGAAATATAAGTTGATTGATTATTGGCTCTTACAAAAGGGTAAACAATCAAGGAACATGATTTAATTAAGTAACCACACATCACTGAATCTATATCTTCATTCTTTCTTGTAAAAATCGCTTTGATTGTGGCTATATAAAATAGGGAAGTAAGATTTCACTGTACAACGAGCTCAAAAAGCTCGAGAACCAGCAATAAGATGGAAATAACCGGCAGAACCTTTAACCATCCACTGGCTCGCTAGTCGCTACCCCAGGTCGGTCGGTAGCCGGGTAGCCCATCAATGGAACCCGTTAGGCTCGCCCCTACCTCTCGCCGCAAGAGAGACAAGAATTTTGCCTTGTTCCACGCGCCTTTGATTGTTTGAGGCAGGAAAACTATTTGTGTGCTACGGTCCGCGCAACACAGGATATTGTTTTCGTATTAGTTGGCCTTTTTCCAAGATGACCGTGACCGTTAACTTATTTTATGGACTCCCTTGGAGAATAATTAAAAACTACAAAGAACATTTCTAATCCCACAGTATACTAGCTATTTAAATTATGAACACTTTGGTGTTTGAAAAATATTTTTGGACGATAAATTTTGCAGCTATTTGAAATCATCCAAGATGGCCGCTTGCCTCCAAGGACTCAACAATAGGCCTAATTGTGCGACTATAAAGCAATAACTTCCCACCTTGCGCTTGCGAATTAGTTCGGTACATATTTGTATCCACAGTTGCCAGGACGACTATTAAGACGACCAAAGATTACATTGACATTTAGGTATTTAATCTGTAGAATAGTAATTGTTAAGTAATCTGGAAGACAACTAATTAAAATGAAGTGCGAAAGATGGGTTATGAGAGTGCTCAATGCCTGAAGCATGATCCGTTTGTTTGAGGTGCGAATTTTTAAGCTTGTAGAACAAATAAATATCACAAAGTAGAAGGGCAGGGGTGAAAGTGACTGAAGTGACAGGATACCCGGTGGATTTTCAGTGACTGGATTCCAGTGGTATGCGGTAAAATATATAGTGACTGGCTTAGCAGCACAAATTTTACGTGACTGGCTTTCCCATGCAAATGCGGTGGTGACTGCATTAGCATAGCATTTTTTACGTAATTATATTTTAGTATTTTTAAGAAAAAAATAGATATATACGTTCAGATATGTCTAGGCTTAAGATATTTACCAATATATATTATATATATATCATAGTCTTGAAATATATTGGGGGGTGCAACTGACTGACTTCCAGTGTATATTTTATGTGACTGGCTTCCCGGGCGCGGCCGTGTATAAAAATATAAAAATTTGAACGAATGGTGTTTTTGGCCTCTGGGGACATCAAAATGAAAAAGTAAATCGGTCCCGGGCCTAGGTCTTACCATGCCACCTACGGTAGTAGCTGCTTCCCTATAGGGAAATTTGCTAAAATTATGAGGTTGTTATGTCTTTGACAGTATAATTTCTTCCTTCAGTAATGCAACACAGTCAACTCACCCTCATTCAGACAACTTTGAATGAGACACTTCAAACAAGAGAAAAAGTCTTTATCTACCAGAAGAAGCTAAACGCTGAAGTTTACCGGAATAAGATTAAACTCTATTCTAGGTAATAAAGGAAAACGGCAATAACATTTATACGTAACAAGCACTAGTTGAATGGATCTTTGTTTATTCGTGTGGCTATGGACAAAGTCACGTGTCTCATTGCAGGTGGCTGTCCAAACCAAATGTGGATGTCACTGTAAAGAGAATTGAGACTAACAGAAAAATCTGAATAGTCATAAATGTAAATGTGGTTCTGCTTATATTATTATGGACTCTTAGTTGGACTATGTTAGTGTTTACCTTGCTGCCTTCGTTGAGGGAAAGGAAGTAGTCAGGGTGGGGGTAGCTAAGACCCACATTGTTCACCAACACCCCGATGTCCATGCCATATAGTTCCTTCTCTATGTGGTGGTAGACAGTGTTCCCCTCAGTGAAATCAGCCTCGATCACCTTCACGTTCACTTTATAGTTGTCACCTGATCAACAATCTATATTTACATCTTTTTCAGTAAAAAGTTGAACAAGTCTACATGTACTTATTTATTTAAATGTGCTAGAGGTCGCCCCTTGGTCGAAATCTTGACCAAATATATGTTATTTTACAAACTTCTCTATTTTCACCCTACACTGTAAATAAAACATGTGATTGGAATGTCTTCCATTTGTTTTGATTTTCTGTTTATATATTGTCGTTATTTCGTTACCAGCATAGGAACCCATAAGAGCGCATGTTATTTTCTTTATTTTAATATTAATGTTTTGTGCTTATTTTTGAGCTTAGGCCTATTTTAATTTATAAAGGGATTCTGCACATCAACAGGGAAATATCTTTCTTGAAAATATTTTCCCTCCAATGCAAACAAGTTGAGAAAAATAATTTTTAAGAAACATGCTTGCCTATTAAATTATAGGATATCAAGCAAAAATGCACATCACAAAAGTGAACCTATATAAACAAACTATTAACAACGTGTATATACAAATTGATGTAGCATAATCTACCAAGACAAATTGAGTAACACATCACCTTCTTCAATCTCTCGAGAGAAAATGGAATATAAATAGTACTGTTACATGTTACCTAAGTGAAATACAACTCACGTATTTCCTGTGATACGGCATCCAATTTTGATTTTGTCCTACTAATGAGAACCACATCCAGTCCTTTCTTCGCCAACTGAAAATCAAATATTTATCAACATTAGGCAAAACTGTCTCAACAACTTGATAAAAATTGAAAATAAACCCTTCATTGTTCCTTGCTTCTTTGATATTTCAGTCCCAAAGTAGTAAACGATTTTCTATAGTGTGTCTTACTTTCTTCTCCCATAGTGAGTAATTTCACCACATCCTCGGAGGGGAGGTGGGCAAACACCAGGGGATAGGATAGGGGGTATGGAATATCGAGTGCAGGGCCGAGTGCCGTTTGTACTTTGACGAGGGTCATTTTACAGCCTGAGGCTTGGCGGGGCGAGTGCTGGCCAGGTATCAGTGACTACGGTATCAGGTTCCACGGTGCGGCGGGTATAGGGGTGGAAAGATCGACCAGGTGGGGTGAGCAAAAATATTTTTAGGGATAAAATGAAACTGTTATAACCTAACCAAACTTGCTGATTATGAAAAATTGAATGAAGGTTTACTAATCAAACTGATATTAATTTTCAATCAATATTAGGGAAGACCAGTTAAGTAACTGTACCCGGTCTCCGTTACATCCTGCCTACAACACCCCATTCCACTTACACCCCTCTGAATCCCTCCCCTGAATCACTCTTATGCTCTGGGGAATCAAACGGCACTCGGGCCTATCTGACGGTTTTGACAGTTTATAATCCCCACGGCAAAGAACCAACTAGCACAGTATTTTTTTCTCCAACCCAGGAACCAGTGTGTGGCAAATGCCCCCTTCTGCCAACCCCCCTCCCCCCCCCCCGAAATTACGCCCCTCGGATAAAGTATACTTTTTGAGTTTTGGGTGGAAATATCCATTTGGATACCCCTGAACTAAAAAAAGCTTTTTGAAGTCATGATTGTGTGTGTGTGCAGAGCAACAGACTACAACTGTGGACTGATTTTAATGAAATTTAGTATATCTATACTAATTCATGGTATCTCCAAGAGGTTTTTTTTTATTTGATTTTTTTAACCCATTGGCGCCCACTTACGAGCGTTACTCGTACGGCCGCTGCAGGCCCGGAGGCCGACTTACGAGAGCCGCTCGTGTCACCGCTAGGCAGCGCCATTTTTTATTTAGTTATTATTATTTTTCGCCCTTTTTGTTTCTTCTTACTATTATAATGTTTATAAATATCGTGCTTCTTGATTTGCGTATTTACTCATTTATTTTAGCGAATAACAAACAATTTTGTGTTGCCATGGAAACCACATATCACCAAAAATCAGCTGCGGTAAGGTAAACAAACAATTTCTTTAAAATGTTATCTAAATATATAAAAGGCAAAGCCCTCACTGACACACTCACTCACTCACTCATCACTAATTCTCCCACTTCCCATTTACCTAGGAGGCTGAAATTTGGTACACCGATTCCTTAGGCATTAAATAGGAAAACTAAGTTGTTTTTATTCTGATCGGACTCTCGGGCTCTGCCCCAGTGGCTCTGGAGTTTCCCATGTTAACCTTATGATTTTTCATATTTAAAAGGAATTAATGAATCTTATCAGCTGTTTCAATTAAACAAGTTGGTTCTGTTCTATGATGTTCAATAGCTTTAAAGTTACAAGGATTGCCAACAGGGTGCAGCACTATTATTATTTTTTTTATTTATGACAACAGCTAATTTGCAACCAAAAGGTGAGTGAGCGTAGCGAACGAACTTCAACCTGGAGGCGAGTTAGCGTAGCGAACGAGCTAACCTGAAGGCAAGTGAGCGCAGCGAACAAGCTCCAACCTAAAGGTGAGTGAGCATAGCGAACGCACTTCAACCAGGACGTGATTGAGCCATGCGAACGAGCTCATCTTGAAAATTAAGAAGTTAAACGGGGCAAAGCCCGCGGGTACAGCTAGTTACTTATAAAAGTACACAACTTTTGATTTTTCTACGTAGGGAATCGATCGACCTTTATAATAGTAGTGTTATTTGGTGTCTGGATTAATATTGGAATTTGTATATCAAGTTTACTTTCAAAATATTGTTTTTAAAATTTTTATTTTTATAATCTTTATATATATATATTTTTTTTTAGTTTACAACTTTGACTATCCAATTAACACTTTTCTGTAGACAATTTTACTGTGAACAAAATGGTGAAAGAATTATTAATTTATTACCTAAGGTTTTCTTTCTATAGCAGTTAGAGTAAAAGTGTACAAATTCGGTAAAATTAATTGCCGCCAGAGGGTGCTGCAGGTAGCGGATTAATTCCTTCCCCAATGGAATGATTAATGGTGATTTTTTATAAAATCTATAAAATAACAAGCCGGTTTTGATTAAAATTAGTATGTTATGGTCCTTATCATTCTAAACAAAATAATACAATACCCCATTGTGTAAAAATTAGGTTCAAAAGTTATTGCAACTCTAGTGATTTTCCTTATAAAATATCATAGTTACTCCCACCCCCCATACCCATGATAAAGGTTGTTTACAAGCTAACGGGAGAAAGTATGTGTCAGATTGCTGATACCGTTTATTTTCATTTTGTATACACATGGATAAAATAAGCCCTTGAGATCCATAGTGGTATAAGTAATTTATTAAACTCAAGTATTTGGTACCAATGGATTTTTTAACTTTATTTAATTTACAATCTGAACCACCGTTTTAGTGATTGACCACCGTCAACACTAGCTAAGAAAGAGAATTTTGATAAACACTTAGCCGAATCTGAATGGGAGGTCCAATATCGTAAATTTTGTATCAATTTATAAAAATATTTTACTAATTTGCTTAGTAATTGCATGAAAATATTGTCAAGGCAGTGTGGTATAAGTCATTTAACCTACAGAACCACCCCATACAAAAAAATCCTCTAATCTGAAATAAAAAGCTATATACACTATTAAATAATACATTCATGAATACTAACAAATATTTAATTAATTTTATGATTTATGGTAGGATATCCAAAACATTTCAACCTCTACAGAACTACCCCATATAGAAAATATCGTCTTAATCTGAAATAAAAAGTTGTTTACTATTAAATAATGCAGTTATGAATACTAACAAACTTTAAATTAATTTTATGATTTATGGAAAGATATCCACTAAACCCTTCGGTTTCTCAAAATTAGCTTGGTGTGACTTGTACCACTATGGAATTTCAGGGGCTCAAATTTAATGTCAAGTTGATGGGAGAGAGCATGTGTCACTTACCTAATGCCATAAGCTCCTTGCTCCTTCTCTGTGTGGTATAAAAATCTATTTAATTTGTGGGTAATTATTTGTTTTATTGTAATACAGGTAATACAGTACTTACCGCTTCAGCAAATGCTTTTCCAAGTCCATCTGTTGCCCCAGTAACAACTGAAACAAAAGGTATTATAAGCACTGTAATGTGTGTTACAACATAGAGTTATTACAGTTATTATACAACATCAATTAGTCATTATATGACACAGTTTTAAATAATAATTATTATTATACGCATAATAATATGCATATGGTTACAAAAGAGCAATATATTGTTCGAATACTCCAATATTTACATTATGTATTTTCAGTAAATAATCCCTGTCCTCTCATATCTACTTTCTATAATACTTATGTTAATCCATTAGGTATCATCATGTGAAGGTCATGATCTTCATAAAATAAAATAGAAAAATGCTAATAGCTTCAAGAATTTATTTATTTTGTCAGAGTGGTGTTGTAAAATAATTCAACTAAATTTTACAATAAGGCTTAACGTGAGGAATGTCTTAGTGTAGTTTTTTATCCACTAGGTGTTCAATACATCAATACAGTTGTCTGCTTGCAACATTGAGCGGAGCTAGATTAATCCAATGCTATTTTCTAAAGTCAATGCTACACCTGTTTCTCGTAAATGAGATATATTACTTGCGGTATCCAATGTCAATGGTTGGTATATTTGGTTACATAAATGGAATCTCTATTTGCATTATCCAAAGTCAATTATTGGTTCACGTAAATGCAATGTCTATTTACAGGTTCTAAAGTCAACGCCTGGTTCACGTAAACAAATTGTTTACTTGCAGTATCCAAACTCAATGGCACATTTGGTTAAAGTAAATGAATTGTTTACTTGCAGTATCCAAACTCAATGGTACATTTGGTTCACGTAAATTACCGTAATTGTCTACTGGCACTGGCAGTATCTGAGAATCCTAAGTCAATGGTCCATTTGATTCACATAGATGGAGTGCTTGTTTGCAGTATCCAAAGTCAATGGTACATCTGATTCACGTCAATGGAATGTCTACTTGCGGACATCCAAACTCAGTTGTAGGCCTATATTTGGTTCACATAAATGGAATGGCTAAAGTGAATGGTCCAATGTTCTAAAGCGAATGGTACATCTGGTTCACGCAAATGAATTGTCTAATTGCAGTATCCTAAATCAATGGTACACCTACTTTACATAAATGAGAAACCTACTTGCAGCATCCAAAGTCAATGGTCCTGGTCCATTTGGTTCACATAAATAAAGTATCCAAAGTCCAATCCAATGGTGGGCTTACTTAAAGTTCTGGCAGTATTTCAAAGTCAATATAGTCGTGTTCAAGTAAATGAATTGTTTACTTGCAGTATCCAAACTCAATGGTACATTTGGTTAACGTAAATGAATTGTCTACTTGCAGGATCCAATGCAATCGTCCATTTGATTCACATAAATGGAGTGCCTATTTGCACTATCCAAAGTCAATATGTTACGTCTGGTTCACGTCAATGGAAAGTCTATTTGCATTATCCAAACTCAATTGTATGCCTATATTTGGTTCACATAACTGGAATGGCTATTTGTATTACCTATTTAAAGTCAACGGTGCATCAGCCCAACGATATAAACAACTATCAGCCTTATTCCGGCGAAATTTTTATTACCCATTTGGCTATTTATAAAATCCTGTGAACATGTTTAGTATTGTTCAAGTATGGCAAATCACAAAATGTTTTGCACAAAAATATATCATTTGGGCTAATTGTTTGGCCAGCACTGACTGTATACCTACTTCAATGAAGATTCCAAAAAAGTGCTTAGTGTGTCGTGTGTTGTTATGTAAACCAAACCAGAACTTGCTATACAAGATCGGCCTTCTGGAAGGTCAAGATTAGGGAAACATTCCACTTGAGTGTGTGCTGTGTTCTTTGTTGTAAAATAAAGAGACTAGAAAGAAACTGGTTCACAAGGTCGGTAGGCAAAGTAACAAATAGTTTAATTCAAGGAACCTTTTAAGCTTGTTTTACTGACATTGGAAAAACACGATCAAGAAAAGAAACTGAAACATGGCATTTATTCTTATAGTTTTAAACTACAAAAAAGCATGATTCATTTTTGTTTAAATGAGTTTCAAAACATCTATTTACAACCACTTTTTCAATGCTATGAGTTACAGTTCTACATTTCCATTGGAATTTTCTATAACGGATTCACGGTATTATTATTTTTCAGAGGCCAAACAGTTATAATTATCAAAAAATAATGTATTAACGTTTTTAAATATTAAGTACCGGTACTATGACTTTACATATTTATCTTGTAAAAGTTCTATTGTGTAAACATATCAACCGATTTGATAACTTTTGCATTGTATCAACGGGGAAAACATATTAAAGCCTACGGGTAATAAAGAGTGTTAAGTTATCCCTTTTTATCAGTTGGTAGCAATGCGGGTCGCTTTGTTAGCATATTATTGACACATTGACAGACTGAGGCTGAGGCTCCCTCCCTCTCCCACCCCAGCAAAGTCGACTTCCGGTTATTATATGTTAACTGGCCGAATACGTTTCCTCACGCTTCCACTTGCCACTAAACGACACTTGACTTTATTTACTAGTAGAAGTATTCTCGCTTGATTCTTCTCAAACGATTTCTATCTCATGCGGTTTTGGACCAGAGAAATGTTTGGTCGGATAAATGTCTGTACTTTCTTTCCCGTAATTTTAAACCGCGGTGTTTTCAGTTTAGCTTGTAATTTAAAACATTTTAATTGCGAGGATAAATTGGCCTAGAAACTATTGTAATATTGTTTGGAAAGCCAATTGTGATAGGCTTAGTAGTATATTTTCATGAATAATAATTTGTTGGTCTAAATATCTTAAGACTAAGTTACTTTATACCAAAATGATTCAATTCGAAAATTTTGCCAATCCAGCTGTTATTAGGTCAGAATCGGAATATAATACTTAACGAATGCATACATTTATTGCACATATAGTGTCTCCCCAAAATTTGCAAAATAGTATAATCATTTAGAAACTTTGTCAAAAATGAATGAAGAAATGTTGTATTTCATCTTTAGGGCCTTAAGTGACCTTTTTCGGCCCGAGCTCAAGTTTTTTTTTTCGAATCAAAGCCGAGGTCAGAAAATGAGCGAGGGTTGGAAAGACACTTTTTGCCCGTGCGATCGAAATATATTTTTCGTCATATTGCAAAATTATTTGAACAATCTACGTTACAAAACTAAACTAGTTTTTATTTAAAGATAACCTCTCAAAACTAGCCTACTTCTAACTTATTTTCAATTTAATTCGCTAATGGAAACAAGCAGCTGTTTAGCAAGTAATTCAATTGTTTAGTCTATTACGATTGTGTAGTGTACATTATACAACGATTATACTATCGATATGTCGAACTATTTATAATACGGAAACAATTAACTACAATCGGTTAAACTATAGATGAATACTTTCGATACAGTCATGAAATTTTGTTTACAATCGAAATTAACAACTGAGTTGACAACAGCTGATTGTTACTCCCTTGCGAGAGTAAATATGCTACTATACCCTCAACGCATGCACTAAAAACGGCTGTTTTTGTTGCAGTATGACGACAAACAAATGATTTCGAATGTAAAGAACCCATATACTGCGCCGGTTTTAATAAACTTATAATATGAGTAAACAAAACTCATCCAATCAGTTGACTACCTATGTAAAATGTATTAAGGTGTGTAGTGCTTGTAGGAATGTGTAAAACTGATTTCATCTGTTGAAGTTGCAAAATAAATGTAGGTAGTCTTATTTTATCTCTTTATGCATGCGGGCTTGGTCTTATTTTACTACGTTGGTTCCATTTCACCATCAGTGATGAATTGCCATTCCTGCAAAGTTCACAGGGCTACAGATAGTATAGTATCGGCTACTGATTGTTTATTAAGTGTGGATTTGCGATTTCCAGCGGTGACACCAAGGCCACGTGTGTGTAGGTCGCGAGATAGTGATGAATACTTTCTCCAGCGACTCAGTGTCAGTCTACCACTGCCGTGTCTTCGTCGTGCCACCTCGGCTTGTGAAACCCGGCTGTTGTTTACCACCGAAATAGAGGGAAATCTCCTGCCTGTTGTTATCGTAAACAAAATTAGAAGGTTGATGAAACATATTGGTCGAATCATCCCTGACGTAAGTCGGTAGGCAGGCTCAGACTCGTTATGTCGATTTCCTTGGTAAAAGGCCAGCGACCAGCTGAAAATCCCAATAACATTGACTGAAAAGATATATAATTTTCTAAATATACCGATATCGCGTATTGAAACGATTAAATTACTGTATTTTATTTTGTACCTACAGTTTAGATACAGAAGAAACAATTAAAATACAATTAACACTTGAACCATTTATTTTATTTTACTAATAACATGTACAGTATAGATTAGTCCCTAATCGCTATGCATATTACTGAAGTATTTTAGTATACAAATAATCGGTATGAAAACACTCTGTACAATAGGATTAGATCATATTAGATTGATTACAAGATACATTTAAATATGGGTGTCTACAAGTAAGGCGTGTATTTGACGAGGAGTCAATACTTTTCATTTAACGTCAAAATCGAAAGTTGTTTATTTCAATCATCTACCAGCTTTATGGAACACACAATGAACTATAAATAGCAACTAGATACATTCAAGCCAAAGAGACAAACACAGACACAATTGAAGACATTTCGAAACTCGGCTAAAAGGTCTAATGTTATCTGGTGTTGATAATGACCTTGATAAGAACGGTACTAGATCTACCAAGGTCATGGTGGGGTAACCAGCACAGTAACCAGCCAACCTAGCCTTCCTGTATACAACTTGTTGTACCGTTCCCAAAAAACCGACAAACCAACACAACAAAAACTACAACTCGTCCACAACTTCCTCGTACTGAGTTTCCAATTTCAATCCGATGGACAGTCGCAACAGTTGTTTTGCTAATAAATCTTACATTTCTGAAGTAAAAGTAATACAGTATTATGAACCACAAACGTATATTATTTTCACTTCTGGAACCAAAATATACTAAAGATAGTGTTGAAAAACGTGACTCCCTATACAAGGGTCTGGACCCTGGAG